CTCAACCACTCACTTTACATTCTAAAACTGGTGTTCACTCATCTTAAGAATTTTAAAGACTCACTATTTACATTTTTCTTTATCTGATCAGTGCTCATTTTTTTCCAGGCATAACGATAGCCCAAGGATTTCAAAGACAGCAATGTCTCTCTTAATTTGTCTTTCAGAATAGTGCACATACTGTATATTTAGAACTGGCCTGGATGCAACTGAATCACACTAAAGAGGTCATTATCTCAGACTGCTATATAATATAAACTATACCTTCTCTATAAAACTATCATTAGAAAACCACATTACTTATCTAACTGGACAGCTATGAGTGTCAATGACAAAATCTATTCCCCACCAAAGGCAACACAGAATAGATGAAAGATTTTTACCAGGCTAGATTAAGTAACTGTTGGAGGTTACAAAGTCCTTAATCATTATTTTACTAGTCATCTAGCGTAAACCATAGCTGGTCAGTCTCTGACCCTCTTGGTGTTCCCCAAATGACTAGGGGCCCTTCTCTGTGTAACACCATGAGAAAATAGATTTCTGTCTTTTGAATTTTTTTTCAATAGTAAGAGGTTGAAACATTTCTCCTAAGGCCTTATTATTGGTATTAAAAGTTTTAAAACTGCAATATAATTATATAATTGATTATATTTGCCCTGCCCTGAAATATGTGGTCTCTAACAATTTTTCTAAAGCTGAATTCAGCCCCTGAGGTCAAAGAGATTCCTGAAAGAATCACAAACTTGAAATAGACCACAAGGGACATATAGTCCAACCCCATTCTGCCATGCAGGAACACACAATCAAAGCACTCCTGACAGATGGCCATCCAGCCTCTTTAAATAGAAGAACTTCCTGAAAATAAGAGTTATAGGACAGTGGAACACACTCTCTTGGACCCAGAACCTCCAAAGAAGGAGACTCCACCACATTCCAAGAGAGTGTGTTCCACTGTCCCATAACTCTTATTTTCAGGAAGTTCTTCTTAATGGAAGAGATAGAATCCCTTTTCTTGTAGTTTGCATCCACTGTTCTGGGTCCTGTTCTCTGGAGCTGCAGCAAAGAAGCTTGCTCCATCCTCAACGTGACACCCCTTCAAATATTTAAACAGGGTTCATATCACCTCATTATTGACCTAAACATTATATTTATTGTTCTAGACTGGGGTGAGCAACTGTGCAAGGCTAGAAGGCCATACTAGCCCCCTAGGAGGCCATTTGAAGAGTGCCATTTGCTTCCACAAAAAAATGTTTTAAAGAATTGCTCCCAGATGTCCCATGGGTATGGAGGCATTTTCACTATGTTTTGAGTTTCAAAAAAGGACCTACCTGAAGCTAAATTGGCCAACAGAATGTGATGAAAATGCACCCCACACCACCTGTGAGCATGTTAGAACATTTTGGGGCAAATATATATTTGAAATTTTATTTTTGACCCCTGGGAACATGATAGAAATTATCTTTACACATCTTTGAATGTATCTGGGAGCATTGTGGAGCAATTCCCCCCTTCCAGTATATATATTTTTTTACCTCAGGTGGAGTCCTAGGGGCCTCAAAATGGTCCTGGCACACATATGACCAACAGGCTACACTTTACTCATCCCTGTTTTAGCTTGTATGTCTCTTCTGTATATATTTTGCATCTAGCCAGCCACCATTTGACAGGCAGATTAGTAGCTCCATCCTGCAGGCTTTGGTTTATATTTTTGTTCTTGACTTGTACATAACAAAACCTATTTCAAGTTCACACAGCACCAAATGTTGGGTTACCTTTGGAATGGGAACAGCCTTGTTCGGGTCAACAGCCAGACCCATTTCAGCCAAGTTCTGCGATACAGTTTTGGACCTGTCCCAGGCATGTCGGATTTGGGGACTGGGAAGAAATTAAACAGATAAATCTGTACATTAATTCTATGCATTTCTGAACTGATTCCCCCCTCCCGGGCCTTTCTAGTAACACACAACTACTGAAGAAGAACATCAGCTGTTCTATACATCCTTGTCCAGAAATCTTCAGAGTACTGAATATTTCTGTTGGGTGAACCTGGCACCCTTATTACTCAACTCAACAGATGTTTTAATTCATTTAGCTTTAAAAAAAAAATTTGTCTCTACAAATTTAACTGTAAATTTAGTTCGAATGCTATTAAATAGGCAATAGACCACCATAGCATGGCTCCACAAAGTATGTGGTTCCAGATCTACTGGCAGCCATGACCCAAACAGACCTGTGGCTACAGTGTTGTTCCTTTTCGTTGGAAGAAACTTATCCGTTCTCTTTCCCCTCATTATATAGATAAAAAGGTACGGGTAAAGGTATTCCCCGTTGACAAGGTTGTCAGGTCATGTCCAACTGTAGGGGACGGTGCTCATCTCCTTTACTAAGCCGAAGAGCCAGTGTTGTCAGAGACTACTCTGTGATCATGTGGCCACTTTTACTGTCCTGGTTCAGTGCTAAGGAATTATGGGAATTGTAGTGTTTTCTAAGACATTGAGCCTTCTCTGTCAGAGAGCGCCGATGTCACAATAAACTACAGTTCCCATGATTCCTTAGCACTGAGCTGAGACAGTTAAAGTGGTCTCAAGCTGGATTTATTTATGGTAGTCTGTAAAGGCCCTAACAGTCTCTTCTCCATCTTCTTGCTTCCTGTATAAAAGATGGCAATGATTTCTCTCTTTACCCAAACCATTTTAGGTGGCTTTTTTATGTTGTTGTTGTTGTTGTTGTTATTATTGGGGGTTTTCCAAGTACAAACTACATGTTTGTTGTCTTTCTTAGCCAGTTTTCATTCTTTAGAGAGGCAAGTTTAGATAAAAAAAATATTCAGGGTTACGTTTCTGCTGTTCTGCTAATGGAAGACAGACTCCAACAGGGTTTATCTTTCATCTTTGCATATCTAAGGGCCTTTGCAGACTGCCAGAAATAGTGCAAACTGAGTCCACTTTAACTGCCCTGGCTCAGTGCTAGGGAATCATGGGAACTGTAGTTTATCGTGGCACCAGAGCTCTCTGACAGAGAAGCTCAATGTCTCAGAAAAAACTACAAATCCCATGCTTCCCTAGCACTGAGCCAGGGCAGTTAAAGTGGACTCAATTTGCACTATTTCTAGCAGTCTGCAAAGGCCCTAAATTTCCTTTAAAAAGGATTAAAACCCTGGAAACTTCAATTCCACCCCACACTTTGGCATAGCTATAGTCCCAAATGACGATGCAGTCTAGCTCAGTGCTGAATCTAATGCAAAATCAAAGCCAGCACTGTTTCCACGCAGCCTATGGAAACTGACACTGAAGCGCATTACTTCCACAGTGCAGACGCACCCTTGGTGGCCCAAGTCTCTCTCCTTCCTTCCCTGTCAGCCACTCACCATTTTATCCGGGGCGCCGCCCGCTTCCTGGCAGCCTTGTTCAGCTTCTTGCGGTTGATGTTGTAGTTATACTTGCGCCGCCGCTGCTTCTGCTTGGCTTTCGGCATCGCGGCGAAATGCCCCTAAGACCAGAAGAGCAACCCTCCACACGCGGTCTTCCTCTGCGCAGGGGGACCGGCTCTCCGCATTGGCCGACGGGAATTGTAGTTCTACGTACCCACTCAGCCTCATTGAGTTGCTAAAGGAAAAGAAGCCAGCTGGACTACACTTCCCAGAAGGCTTTGCTCCAACCATGGTCCAAGTTCCTGTGAAGAACGCCATTGGCTGCTGAGGTGGTTCCCCACCGCCTGCCCTGTACGGTGGCCGGAGAAAGTCAGTAAGGTGTGGAGCGAAACGCGTCGCCTCCGTTCTCCTCGGTTCCTCAGTCCCTTAGCCTCATATACCGGCTGTTTCCCAGGTTCCTGTGAAAAACTCCATTGGTTTCCCTACGCCCTGTCATGTACGGCAACCGAAGAGAGTCAGTAAGGCTCGTCGCGAAATACGTAGCTCCAAAAACAGAGCAACAAGCATCCACTCTCTGCTCAGCCGCAGAATCAAAGGGACCGTTTGTCCGCATTGGCCGACGGGAATGGTAGTTCTTCATACCCGGTCCGCGTCATTGAATTCTTAGAGGAAAAGAAACCAGTTGGACTACAACTCCCAGCAGCCTTCAGGCCCAAGTTTGTGAAGAAAGCCATTGGCTACCGAGGCGGTTCCTCAGAAGCAGTCCTGTACGGCGGCCGGAGAGAGTCAGTAAGGCGAGGAGTTCTCCTGCGTTCCTTTTAGACCGGGGGTCATGGCCGCAGCGGGCTCTCCGCCTCCGCTGGACCCCAGCGGCCCGCCTTTGATCGAGGGCTTCCAGCCGAGCGCCTTCCAGCACCACGAGGAAGGCTTCGCGGAGAAGTTCGCGCGCAAGACCCGCGAGAACCCGCTCGTGCCCCTCGGTGAGAATCCCGCGGGGCCCTGGCAGTTGGAGCGCTATCGACCCGGATTATTTCTCCAGTGCGGATGCAGCCACTGCGCCTACCAATAATAATAATAATAATAATAATAATATGGATTGGTTTTATTGGCATAAAACTTGAAAATTCTCCTCAGAATTTTGTTGTGTGCCTTCAAGTTTTGTTTTGTTTTGTTTTAAAAAACGTAGTTAAATGCTGTCAAATTGGTTTTGACTTATGGCGACCCTAAGGCGAATGAACCTTTCCTGGGGTTTTCCTGGCAAGATTTATGCAGACGGGGTTTGCCATGGCCTTCCCCTGAGGCTGAGAGAGTGTGACTCGCCCAGCATCTTAGCTATATGTATTATATTGTAATCCAAGGAAGAATAGCTTCACTTGAGGCACTGGATTCCCATTAGTAATTTTTATGCTGACAATGTGTTGTTCATGTTTGCCTTCGAGTTATTTCTGACTTATGGCCATTGCCTTCCTCTGAGGCTGAGAGAGTGTGACAAGGTTTTCTCAGAGGAGGTTTGCTGTTTCCTTCCTCCGAGGCTGAGAGAGTGTGACAAGGTTTCTTCAGAGGGTGGTTGCCATTGCCTTCCTCTGAGGCTGAGAGAGTGTGACTTGTGCAGGTCACCCAATGGGTTACATGGCTGAACTGAGAATTGAACCCTGGTCTCTAGAGTCATAGTCCCAACACTCAAACCATTAAGCCATGCTGGCTCTATCACCAGAAAAAAATAAATACCCCCCACTTCAATGATAGTCTCATCTCCACTGAAGAAATAATGCAGTTTGCACAGTGCAGGG